CTCTGTGTTTCCAATAACTCAACAGCCTTCTTCGGTTTCCAACCGCATTCCAACACTTTAAAAATATATTAACAATTTTGTTCAGATCAGAAATGTGCTTTTGAAATCCCTCATCATTCCACTTAACTACATTTTGCTTCACATCATACAGCAATTTCAAAGTGCATAAAATGATTACCTTTATGATAAAATTCAACTGGATGATCTTTAGCAGCACTGCTAACACACACCATCCACTAAAGGGAAGTCATTCAGCAGAATCAAATTAGAGCTAAATAAGCTCTCCCTGAAATACACATTGAGTAGATGCCACATCCTCAGAGCCAACTGATTTGCTCGCACTGTACCATGCAGCCTGCTATATACTGTAGACATAATTTTAAGACAAAATATTTAGTAAACACAAGCAAGACTCTGAGCAACAGGAAAAATCCCTGGCAATTTTTTCAGTCTTTCTTTTCTAGATAATCGTTCGAAAACCAATTTTTATACATCTCATTCTTTATAAAATTACTTTTTATAATCTTTTTAGTATATTCCTGATCTAAGAGGTTTTTAATTGTCCTGCTAAACCAGCAGCCTACAGAATGTTAAATTTTAACTGGACCAGGTACACTAAAGAGACATGGCTGGAATAATATGTTCAATGGCCCAAACAAACAAACAAACAAAAAACCCCACCATAACACATGGAGCCAAATTTCAACACTTTCAAGAAAAAAAAAAAAAAAAAAAAAAAAAAAGTTGTTTGTAGAACCTGAAGGGGGCTATTAACACCTCATATGACTGAACAAGTCACAGAAATACTCATTCTCCTTGTAGGTAGAAATGAAGTTTCAGAGCATCAGCTTAACAGCCAGTAGAATTACAAGGTACTTATAGTTGTGCACATACACAAGGCGCAGGCAATTTTTCTTTGAAAAAGAGTAAAACCAAGGAGAAGCTATGACTGCACACAAGACAATTTGTTTGACATTCTATTTATAGGTAAACTCTTTAGGTACCTATAGGTATACTCTTTTCATATATTGACTATTTCATTTGTGTGTAGAACTCATTCATCATTCTTAATGAATGCTAGCTACTTAGTAATCATATTTCTGACTGAAATTTCTGTAACTGGCAGTATCATGAATAATTGTTGCCACTGCTACACTTGGCTAACATTGGAACATATACAGCCTGCCCATTTAAGGAAGCTGGGAGGGTGTTAAAACTAAAATAGATAATATTTAACAAAAACATTTTAACTTTGGCTCTTTAATTAATTGCAAGAATTACATGACTTGATGTTTTATTCTTCAAATTCACTCTATTTCATTTTCACTGCAATATATCTAGCCTCAAAATTACATTTACTTTTACAGAAAGCACTGCTGTTCACTGCTCTACATCTTGCATCTCTTTGAGTGAGCCAATTCAAAACTGTATCTAAGCAGAATGTATGAGGTGATAAGTACAATTCTTTTACAACAAGATTCTTTCACGACCTCCCTTATTTCATTTTATTATTTATAAAAGAAGCACATAATGTGAGAATACTCAGATAGAAACACAATCCAGCTGCAAACAGGCACTGTGCAGAGAATACCTACCCCACAGCTTAAAATCCAGACTAAGCAGATCAGGCAGATACAGTATAGAAAAGACACTGCAAATAACAAATAACATGATAATTTACAAATATTTGGCTCCTTTACTTCCTTTCACAGAAGACTGGTGGACTGAGGTAAAACAAAACAAAACAAAACAAAAAAAGCTCCCAAACTGTAAGAGTTAGTAAGCAAGAGAAAAATGCACAAGCGATGATTTAATAGAAAACAAAAACATGCAGGTAAAATGTGTAAAAATTAATCATACACCAAGACGGAAGCAAAAGCTTTCATTAACAGATCCAGTTGCTGGGTAGGTCATAAAAATTTCTCTCTTCCCTGAACTCAAATGAATTGTAAAAAAAATGTGAGACCAAGTAGGGATTCTTCACTGTTAACAGGACTAGTTGTTCACACTTCTATGGGAGAGTAAACTAATTAATGATGACATAATCACAAGATTTTTTTGATCCCAACACAGGATTATAATTCTAAAAACGTTCACATATTTCTTCTCTGACTCGTAATTTATCCAGCCTTTTCCATTCTCATTATGATTTATGAGATTCTTCTCCATGCGTACATATACCACAGAGCTCTATTAATTGTCTTTCCCATTTGCTTCCTATTCACTGCCTATTAGCAACTGCCCTTTCTGAATCAAGAACTGCTCTCATCTTTCACAGTGGATGAAAGAATGACATTTCAGAAATAATTATTGAGATACGGGTGCTGCCTTTCATTACAGATCCACAACAAAAGCTAGTGAGGTAAGTCCTCTTCTGCAGAGTGGACTGCTGTGACAAAAGGCTGTTCTTTTGAAGTTACACCTGAACACAGATGCGGCTTTTGAAGACTACTGTAGAATAGTGTCAGCTATTGCCCACCTCTAGATAAAAGTAATGATTGAATAAAATATATATTTTAGCATCTGAACAGATAATGAGCAATCAAATCACTCCTAATTCTTCTGTGGCACATAAAGAAAAAACGCAAAACCTCTGAGGCACTCATACAGCAGTGCTGCATGGGACCTCAATGCTGTTTGCCAGAAGAATTTTCATATTAATTCAATTTTCCAAAACAGAACTTTCTCTGAAATGCTGAAAGGGCTCTAATTCATGCTATCACCACAATACAAAACATAATACAGTAATATGAAATGAGGATATTCTCCAATTCTGCTAGTTCACTAGTTCACAGGCCAGGAAAAAAAAAAAAAGAAAAAAGAAAAAAGAAAAAGTGTTTAACTTTTTATTTCAATTTATGTACTGGATATGTGGGAGAAATGAATTAATAGTATCCTAATCAGAATAATATAATGCTTACTTACATAGATTCCCTATATTAAAAAAAAAAAAAAAAAAATCATCAAATTTGCCACGGTGACAAAAGAATATTTTTTTCATTTATTATATGAATCTGTCCTTGACACTTCAGATCTCCCTGAAACATGTCAGTTTCAGTAAACTGACAGCAGCTCTAACTTATACATTGCCTCCCAAGTTAGAGAGCCAAACTGATGTCACCAATTATTTAATGCATTCTATCTCTATGATCACCTCATCAGATCTTAATGCTTCACATACTTGGATACTTACTGCTATGCTTTAATAAACATGACCAGGTTGCACCTGTTCAAAGGTTCATGGAAGCTATCCACTCAGTCTCACGATAATCAAGAGGTAACAGCTGCCCCTGTAGCTGATTTAATATTTCTGCCATACTTACAGGGATAGACAAATGAACCAGCTGTTCATGTTTAAACTAGATTTCCCTAAGAACATTCCTGGGTCTGTAAAGACCTGAGTCATACAGTCTTAAGACAGTTTGGTATGTGATACTACAAGCTAGGACAGCAGTATGTTTTTCTCTTTCTGCCACATTGTTGCTTTTTGTTTCTTTTTTAAATGAAAACAGTAAGTGAATGGCGTTCTTTACGGAGGAGGCAATCAACGTCAGACGCCAGCTAAGGAAAATGCCAGTAATCCTGGGTAATTCTTTCACCCTCATTCTGAAACAATATTTGCAATTTATCTGAAGTTTTTTCATTAGATGACATTGAAATGACTCATAAATTAATATTTTTTGCAGTCTTTTGAAGGGTGGGAAATGTACTCAGCATCAGTTTCAAAAAGAATTTTTTTTAATTTCTCCCAAAACTGTTTACCTTCTTACTGGAGTCATCAGAACAAGAACATGAACAAATAGTAGAATTCTCCTCAGGTCTTCAAGTAGAAACATTTAACATCCACTTTCAGAGAACGTCTCTTCCAATTTAAAACAATTATCTGTATGAGAAAGGTTTCACTCATCCCATAAGATGAAATGCTGCTTCACATCACATACATACGGAATGTACAGTTTAAGAAAAAAATTGCCTGAGGTGGTACTGTTTTCTGAAAGAATATCAACTGCAACTGCCAGCAGGTGCTTTAGCAAACCAAGGTTTCCCTGTGTAGGTGGCCTCACAGCTGCGTTACGAGTAGCAGCCGTGCCTAACAAGCTGTGTCCAAGCTCGCATGCTTTGTGCACCTGAGTCGTTTAATTACACGAGCATTCCTTCCTTGACTGCTCTCGTGAATACAGGTGACGCACAGTGAACGTTTTCTTTACCAGAAAACAAGGCACCAAGGATACCGAGCACCTGAGGAGCGGGGCCTCCCGTGACGGCGCTCGGCCGCGGTGGGGCGCTTGGCGCTGGCACGGCGGCCGCGCGCAGGAGGCCGGCTGCAGGCTCGGTTGCCGCGGCGGGACCGAGCTGCCGGGGGCTGTGCGTCACCGCGAGTGTGACGACACCGCCACGCATCCGCACGCCGCGCTGCCTCAGCACCGCGAGGCGACCGGCACGCAGCCCCGGCCCTCCTCCTCCTGAGGCGGTAGACGGTGTGGGCCAGCGCAGTCTCCCGCGAGAAGAAAATCGAGCGCTAGAATGCTGGGCTGGCCGCGGGGCGGGGCGGGCCGGCCATCGCATAGGGCAGTGCAGCGGCACCACCGCGGTACGTGCTCTGCTCTGCCGGGGGCGCTTCGCCGCTTTCACAAGGGAACTTTTCAGCTGGAGGTTGCGCCTCCTCAGGGGTCTCCAGACACTGACTGCATTATCCTGACGTGTCCCGAGCTCAGAACACCAAGAAAATACGCTGTTAGGTCCTTCCTCAACCTCCACAACGCTTGTGCTTTCTCCATTTCCTCTTGTGGATGCCCAGTTAGATATGAAACATCTCTAGCTGAGAATTTCAGGCACCACTAACTGTAGAAATGTCATTTGTGTTTGCAGGTAATCACACAATAGAAGCAGACGATCTGATTCACCTGCAAACAGCACTGGAAGTAAGCTGACTGATTCTGTCTGCAGACAGGAGCATGATGACTTAGCACAAAGAGAGCCACAGCTAGCTGGAGTCTCACATGGCACATCTGATTAAGAACGTGCCTGTTGGCGTGGCCAAACCACTGCAGGCAGATGGGCTGGAAGCTGGAGCAGTAGGAACCACTCAGCTAAGGGGCCTTAATTCACAGGAGCTGCTTACAGAGTTATTTAATATAAAGCTAGTCTCCTCTACGTTGCTCTTTATGTATGAATCTGGTTAATGTATTCACAAATATAAGTAAAGTGAATTATTGTTTCTATATATTTAAAACTGGAGCTGTCCAGATATTTTTCAGTGAGAAATTTGCTGAATTATTTTGAAATGGACAGCTTACTTTCAAATAACATTTTATATTTGAATACTAATTAGCAAAGCATGTTGGTTCTGCTTTTAATACAATATATTTTAGTAACTTAGGCATAGGATTTACAGTACTCTGTACCTAATATATACTTTATATATCCACCTGTACTCTATACATAATATCTCTATACACGGTTGCCAACCATACCCTGGGTTGCATCAAGGTGATTGGCATGATCAGCAGGTCAAGGGAGGCAATTTTGCTCTCTACTCTGCTCTCTTGAAACCCCCTCCCAACTGTGTCTAATTCTGGGGCCCAACCACAAGAAGGGCACAGAGCCCTTGGAGCAGGTCCAGAGAAGACCCACAAAAACATTTGGAGGGCTGGAGCAGCTACCCTGTGGGCACAGGCTGAGAGAGTTGTGGTTCTTCAGTCTGAAGAAGAGAAGGCTTCTGGGGGAGCTTATAACAGCCTAAAGGGGGCCTAAAGAAAAGCTGCGGAGGGATTATTTTTAAGGGCATGTAGCAATAGGATGAGAGGAAATAACTTTAAATTGAAGGAGGGTAGATTTAGAGTACATATTAGGAAAAAATTCTGTACTGTGAGGATGGTGAGACACTCGAACAGGTTGCCCAGTGAGATTGTGGGGCCTCTTCCCTGGAGGCATTCAAAACCAGGCTGGATGGGGCTTTGAGCATCCTAATCTAGTGGGAGGTGTTCCTCCCTCTGTAGCAGGGGGTGTTGGAACTAGATGATTTAAAGATTCTTTCCAACCCAAACAGTTCTATGATTTTATACCTGCCTCATCTCTTCTTTTGGGGAATCTTTTTCCAAAGTGAAACACATAGTAAACTACACATTTTGCTATATGCCCACATTCATTCCTTTAGCTGAAATTTTTACTGAGTTTCTGAATTCCTATGCCCTAAATATGATTAATTCAGTAAAACATTCTTTGATCCATGTAAAAGATATGCAGTATTTATTGTAAAGCACTTTTAAATCATTAGAGCTTAGTGAAGATCAGTGCTGTTAACGTGGAATACTAGGGCTTCCCTTTACTAGTTCCCAGAGACAGTTCAGCTTTCTTATGTTGTCCAACCAGCACACTACAATTTAAGCCAAAAGGATGAAACTTGGATTTGGAGTACTGGAATAAAATTCAAACACAAGCATATTTGGCCTTATGGTAAAAACTATGGGCAAAAGTAACGCCAGATGTGCCAGAGCTTTCAGTGACGTGAGCAACTATCCATGAAGAATGGCCCTGAAATCTTCCAGTATTGCAAATATGTTTCTAAATTGCTATTGAGTGGTAAGAGGATCTGGATGAAAATGATGTTAGTAAATAAACATGAGTTAAACAGAAAATATTTTGATTCATTAAAAAAAAATTACCAGTTTTCTGATATTGTTTCTACATTTTAGATTCTTCAACAACAGCTGGAATCATTTCAGACATTTCAGAAACAGACTCTGGAGAATGCTAATAGGGTAAAAAAAACTACACAAATGATCTTAAGTGTAAATGCCAACTCCTGCATTTTTAGATATTGCCATAAGTATTTTAGGTTATTATGTACATTAAATATACATCAAAACTAGAAAACTATTAAACTGTTAAAAATAATAAACTATTAAAAGTTGAAGGACGAGCTCTAACTTGCACTACTGTAACCTCAAGCGAACTGTTGTTTTCAAATAAGTTTCAATTCCACATAATGTTAGTCATTAGATATCAGAACCAGCTCCAATGCTGCAAACTGCCATTTCTCACGGAATGCTAGACCACCTTTCGAGGAGCATTTTCTGCCATCACAGAATCACAGAATTGTAGGGGTTGGAAGGGACCTCCAGAGATCATTGAGTCCAACCCCCCATCATTTTGTCTGATTCATTATATAAAAGCTAAAGACCTGATGCAGAAAGGATGTTTAGCATTATGCTTTGCTTGTTATGCACAGTTCCCTGTTCCTACACTTCATTTCCATTCAGTCTGTCCTTTGCAGGACATAACTTCCTGATTAAAAAATGTGTTTTGGAAAGTGAAATACTTACACATTTAAGTTTCCTATAAACAATCTTTTTCAGGTACAGTCTGAAATCAGTGACATACTAAATAAAAATATATTTGAAATGAAAACCCCAGTACATACGTCAGCCAAGATTATGATGACTGCACACATCACTTTTACAGCAAATAATGCATCACTGGTATGTTAACAGTTTTTACTTACAAACACATTATTCTGTAGATGGATTTTGGCTTTAATCTTTTTTTTTTTTTTTTTTTTTAATAACCCAATGGGTATTCTGAGTACAAAAAATAACAAGTGCTTTCTTCCTGAGAAGTCATAAATATGTATACCATTCCCTTCCACTCACTTTAAGTTCCATTTCTTTTTTGCACAGACAACATAGTAGCTTGATCTTCATTTGGGTTATTTTCACTGGATATGGAATGCAATGCAAAGCATATAGTGAAACAGGACATAGCCAAGGAGGGGACAGAAATGAAGAAAGGGAATAAAACTTACTTTTTCTGCATCTATTTAGTGCAACTCCAGTTTGTCTTTAATTTGTGCTGACTAGGATGACAAAACCAAAGACAAACTATAGTCTCCTTAGTTCGTCTCTCCTTTGCTTGAAATATAATCAATTTAAGACATCAGTATGTTCTGCTTGCTCCAAAACCCAATACCTAATTAAATGAGGCTGATTAAAATTGTAACATTCTAATAGTTAAATGGCCTTGGCAGAGAAAATTTGTGCAAGTCTTGACTGAGAAGTGGCTTTTTTAGCAGCTCAGATGTCTTATGCTTAAATTACTACATTTCATTATTCTTACAGCATGATTTTTTTTTTGGACATTTGTTTTTAATTTTGTGAGGTAGCATATGGAATATCCTGAATTGTTGTCTTCTCAAAGAGAAGTTCACCATGACCAACAATCCGGTTCTGAAGAGCACGTGGAAGTAAACTGCAGTGCTAAAAATGTGGTCAGTGATATACAAATTTCACATAGGATTTCACTGAAAACTGAAAAGGTTGAAGATTCAGAAAATCTAATTGGAAACAAAAGGATACTTAAATTAAACAATGAGTTTACACGTGGACATTTGGTATCTGGAACTGATTCAGAGACAGAAAGATCAGATGCTGCCCAGGAGAAGGTAATTTTTAGTAAATCTAAGCTTCCTATGAATTTACCTGAACACAGGAAAGAAATTTGTAAAATAGATGATAATTACACTACCAAGTTGCTGAAACAAGAGTTTTGGAAGTCAGCCAGTTCTAATTCAGACTTGTTAGGACAAAATACAGAAAAATCTGTCTTCTTATACAGAGAAAAATTAACTAACTTGAAAGACATTGCAGAAATTGTGACTTCTTTGGATGAATCATGTACTGCTTCAGCTCTACTTAATGAAAATTGCCTACATTTTATAAAGATTCTGAGTATGGCTGTATAACCCCTCCTACAACAGCATGCAGTGAAAAAGCAGAATCTGAAAGCAGAAATGTACTTGAATTTAAAAGCAGTTGTAGTGAAGATAACAGATGCCAGGTAGATTCATTTTCCAAAATGGTGAAAGATAAGCTACTAATGCTTGATCACAAACAGCAACTAGAAAAAGAATGACTGTCTGTTTTTAACCAGATGCTGCTGAGGCTAGGAGATCAGAAGTTCAGTAAAAACAAAGCATCCCCTAAATATGATGGAGAAATTGAAGCATTGCATAAGCTTCTGAAAAACTCTGAGCATCTTCAAAAAAGAGTACATTATCTTGAGAATGAAAATCTACATCTCATGAACAAGGTCAAACCTCTTGCTGATTCTGTACAGTCTTTGAAAGAAAAAATATCAAAATATGATGTGAAAATTAAGGACTTCACTAAAGAAGAGAGGAGTATGCAAACTCAGTTGGTTAAATCACCAGAAGGCAATGAGGGATGCGTTAAGGAAGTAAAGAGTCTGATAAGAAAATATAAAGAACTCCAGAACCAGAAAATCATCCTTGAAAAGAAAAAGAATCAACACCACAATAGAAACAAAGACACAACACAGGCACTACATGATTTTCAGATTAGGAACAAGAAATTAGAAGAAAAGATGACTGTTGGTACTTGCGAAAAAGGGAGGCTCAATACAGTGCTAGAGTCCTTGAAACACAAATGCTCCAATTCACAAGAAACAAATAAAAAACTTGGTCAGCTTACAGAAGAAAAGAGCTCCCTAGAGCAAGAGCTTGAAGGAAAGCAGAGTGAAATAAAACAAATGAAAGAAAAAGCACCTGCAACAAAATCTGAACTGGAGACTCATCTTCAATTAATGCAAACATTTGCAGAGAAAAAACTTAATCTTGAAATGACTCTGCAGGAATGTTCTAATACTAAACAGATGCTGCTGAAGGACACTGAGGAAGTCCAGACAGGTGAAGTGCATACAGAAAAGAAACTCATGACTGAACCCAGAAATGCAAAAGCAGACACTGATCTTTTAAAATATAACTTGACCGCTGCAAACACAGAATATAAGAGGTTATCAACAGTAGTAACAAACATCACAGAGGAAAATCAGCTACTGAAGAGAGAACTGAATGAATACAGACAATACGCTTCCAAGTATGAAAATGACATTAGAAAACTGTCTAAAGAATGCTTACTATTAGAAAATCAACTGTGGACTATTGAAAATGAGAGAGATGTAGCACAGCTTGAATTCCACCGTTTGCATAAGGATTATGTTTATCTCCGAGGCCAAGCTACAGCTTTAGCACGGACACAAAAGAAACCCAATCTCAGTTCTGGCACCACGCAGAATAACTGTTATTCTGAACATTCCACTACAACTTGTAAAGAAATTCCTTTGGATTGCCTTTCACAAGGTATGACTTTCAATTCATTATACCTTACTACCTTTTATCTTTTTAAGTCATTTACAGTCTTTTCACTATTTTTTTTGGTAATGTACTCAAACTGTCTGCTTTTATTGATACTTTGCTACATTTTACAGATTAAGAAGAACAGATCCTTATACAACATTAGTATATAGAAATGTGATGAAACTATGACAGTTGACAGGAGATTGAATTCTGTCCCAAAGATTTCAGACTCACAAAGGAATCTTAGCAACCTTTTAGCTAAGCAGTTTAGTACATGTCACATTTCACAGATTATTTTACAAGAAGTCCTAAATAAAATGTAACCCGCATTAACCTGTCCTTCAGATGACTTCTAATGCTGATTTATGTGAAATTAGTACAAACTACTTTTACCTTTTTACTGTTTTTCTAACTTAGAAAGCTTATTAGCTGAAACACGAATTTCAACATTTTCAGTGTAAACATGTTCTGAGAACAGTCATATTACAAAAAGCACAAAAATTAACATCTGCTAATTACTGTACAAAGACTAATTTTCTCAGCCACAGGACCATAGGGAAGAAGAATTTTTCAAAAACACTGCATATAATATTTATGAAATTGTCTGTACGTAGTGTTTCTACCATGCTATTTCCCTTTATTCTGCTACATTTTTTTTAGTACTTACTAAATAAATCTGTTAAAGTAAAGCCATGTAATTAGTTATTGGTGTTTCCAGAACAGACTTAGAGGTAATTACTTATCTTCTAGTTCCTCCTAATGCAACCACTGGTATATACAAGTCCCTAGCCAGTAAAAGGCACAATATGTTTAGAGATTGTTACTGCATAAAAGTAATCTATTTCTTCCTATTTCTTCAATAATTCATTAAACAGATTGTAACAAAGAAACAGTTATTTGTCTGGCTTTAACACAGCACATTAAATGTAGAGTGCATTTTTGTACCAGTACAGATACAAATTAGAACAACTGAAAGGAACATTAAAAATCTTAGTCAACCTCTTAATAGTTTTTGCTCTAAAAACCTTTTAAAGTACAAAATATTTTGCTGCTTTGATTTTTTGGTTTTTACTGGAGATGGGCAAAAATTATATGCTATAATTATGCATTGTGTGCTCAGACTCAGTAACAGCAATCAAACGGTTAATATTTGGGTTGCTTGGTAGATGGATGGTCAGGCATTTAATTGCATTTGACACAAAGTTGTGTGAGATTGTAAATATTAAGTTGTGCTCAGAATCTATTACAAAGGTAACTGGCTATATTTTTTATATAAGGGAAGTTGTTACATGAAAATAATGTAGTATCTAATGTCTTTCCTGTTTGAAATTTAAGAAAGTTCTAACCTCCACCATCATGGTAAAATGCACTGTCAAGAAGCCAGGCACACATTTATTATTTGTATTAAACAGTATGCTGAGGCCCTACCCAGAAAAGGGCATCAGCTTTCTCAGAGCACACTGTTTCTAATGGGGACTTATCAGGGGAAGCAATCTATTCCCATAATGGCCACATAAACTTAGTCTACATTCACTAAAAAATTCTTAAACAAGCTAGGTTTTTTGTTGTTGCTGTTGTGTTTGGGTTCTTTTTGTTGTTATTCTGGTTTTTTGTTTTGCTTTGTTTTAGTAAAGTGCCATATTTTAATTTTTAATTTTAATCTCCCTTCCCCATTTTGCTAGGGAATGAAAAGATAACTAAAATACAGAAGAAAATACGACAGGAAGAACTGAAGAGGTGGAAGGAAGAGCAAGGAAAAGAAAATAAAAACTTCAGAGCAGTCTTCATCAGCTGCACTACATCAGAACAGCAGTTAGAAGTACCATGCAGTCCAATCTGTCTAGGAGGGCTAAATCTGCAGAGTTCATAAGTGAACATAATATATTGTCCTGATAACCTGTACAAAGACACCTAAAGCCAGCACCAATATCATTATCTTATACAGCATGTTTAAAAAAAAAAAAAAAAAAAAAAGGAATTCTGTTACAGGTCTTTGGATAAAGAAAACATCAAAATTATTGTACAGATTACTGAACAGTATTTTAAAATATTGTGCCCTCTTGATCTAAAAGCATGGGGTTTTATGCCTTAATAAATGCTAGAAGACCTGGTCAACAACTCTTTATTTTTGTTTTCTTCAATGTTAGGAAATGTGAGACCTAGTCTAGAATTCACAAGCCTAGAATTAATAAGGAAAAAAAAAAAAAAGAAACAAAAAACCACCCTATCTTGAGGACAGCAGTAAGTATCCTTAAAGAATAAAGATCTACACATCTTCAAGAAATAGCTTAGAAATATAAATGCTGAGGGGTGTTTACATGAACAAATTTCTTGGAACACATATAATAAAACCTTATAAAAGTTAGGATCCGAGTTTCATCCTAGAAGAAGGTAGTTTGAAAGATTACGTTTGTTAAGATACTTGCATGAACAGAAAGGTAACAGAGCTTCTCTTGAGAACATAGCAGCAGTTAGAGTTTTCAGGAAACAGAGGATGAGTGTTAAACAGATGAGTGTTAATGAGTGAGAGATGATAATTAGAGATAACTACCTTTATAACAGGCTGACAATGGTCATTTTGAGAACATTATAACTGAAAGTCTTCAAGACAGTTCTTACACAAAATACTGTTGAAATAAACTATAAATTGTAATACTGCTAAAGGGAAACAATTATCTTAGTTTCACTGTGAGCAGACTTATTTGGCTAATATATACACTGGCAGTCTTTGAAAGATGTGCATTTTTTTCCACTGCAATACTTTGTGAATTTGAACCTAAATTACTCAATAGGAAGTATGTTCTGTTAAAGTGCATTTCAGTACTCAAGTGAAGCAGTAAGATTAAAAATTATTCACCCATGGACCTACTGAATACATTGTACTACTCATTGTAGCTTTACAACCATGTATGTATGTATATGTCTGTGTGTGTATGTGTAAGAACCAAACACAGATATTACATTCTCAATAATTAAACCAGATTGCCTTATGTACTTGAATTCCACTTCTCACATTTTTATTTACGCTGAATGCTGATTACCAACTGTATTGTTAAGAGTCTTAAAAATGTATCCTTCATTTCAACATTTTTACCTAATAAGATGCAGCATATGCAGTCTTGTAGTTCTTTACATTTATTGATCTGAAATGTAAATGAAGAGAAACTTATTAAATTTTGTTTTAGAATATCACTCTTCAGAATAGGAAAGTTTTAGTGAAAATGAAAAACTGTTACACCCATTCCTGTAATTAGATTTAGTGGCTAATCCATGAGGATCCAAATGATTTATACAGAACTCTGTGTCAGAGCAAGAATTTGTGCTCACAAATCCAATTTAGAATCACAGTCAAAATACCAGAAGATTTCCACTGGAAAGTACACAAAAATTGTAATCCAGTGGGGAAAAGCTGACAATTTGAAATGTATCTCACCACATATGAGCTATAACATTCATACTTCTAATAAATGCTGTTCAAAATTCTCATCCCACTAAACCTAGGAATAACAAAGCAAAAATCAATACATCCTTTAAAATTGTTAGGAGAGAAACGGTAGCAGACAATTTGAAGAAGTGGTTTGAATTTCTGGCTGTGGAACTTTCAGATATGATTTTTTTCTCTCTACAGATATTTGTAATGAGTCCATCATAACCATTTCTGTGAGCACATGGAGATACTCCACTGTATAATCAATCAACGTAATGATGTTATCATTACAAAAGAAACAAGAGAGGCAGAGCAGATTATAATAACAAAAAGAGAATAGAGAAAGCTTACCCGTATCCTGGGCTCGCTTACAAAACTCCAGCAGAGACGATCTCCAGAAGAGATCCTTCCCCACTGGCAGTCAGCTCTTCAATGGGTCTAGGAGAGGAGGAGCCTGGCTCCACCCCTTCCAGCAGCACAGGTGAATTGCCTTCACTTGTGCTCCCAGGGCTGACTCATGGCTCGCCTCAGGTGATCAATCAGAGGTTCAGGCCGTGACTCAGCAGTTCCCATTCACTCCACAATCACCCATTCCTTCTCAATTTAAAACTTGTTTCATGTGGAGTAATAGGTAGCTCCTGGTTTGGCTCTGTCAGTGCAAATTGAAACTTTTAATGATTCCTACAATTTAAAAGCGATTAAGCAAACTCAGGTACGTAGTGAAGTAAATACAACAGTCATATGTGGATTAAAAAGATGCGTTTCTTGAACTTCACATATGGTACATAACAGACAATCACAAATGTGAAAAATTCTAAGATTGATTTCCAAATTTTAATCAGATATTTCTAAAATATTTCATGTTGCTCACAGAGTATGCAAAAAAAATCATACATCTATGTAGAGCTGTTCTGTGTGCAATCTTAAAAATCCCATTTGAAACTGAAGCTTTAAATAACTAAAGAACATGGTCATCTGCTTGAGTTACAATAAGGCCAAACAGAAAGTTATTTAAAAATAACTGTTTGAAAAAACTTCACCCAAATTTACAGAAGTATGGAAAAAAATTTTGAAAACAAGCTTCCTTATATATTTCGTATGCTTTTGTTAACAATTCCTTCAATTATTCTGTTAGTAAGCAACCATCTAACGAATGTTGGTAGACAGCATGCATGAAATATGAACTTAAAGTGGCTTACCTTAAGACATTTTGAGTGATTATACTTGTAACAGGTCTGCTTTTCGGTCCAGGAGGAGGATGAAAAACCTTTTGTTCTTTACTGGATGAGGCAGCCATAGTTTTTTTGGTTACATAAGGGTCAGCAGAATGGCTTGGATAAGGATCAAATGTGCCACCTTTCATGCCCCCTAACTGAAAAAAAAAAAAAAAAACAAAAACCAACTTTCAAAGTGCCAATCTGTAGAATAGTAGGATTTTATTACAATATTATTCATGCAAAAGCAGAGAATACTGAATAGCAGACTGCATTGTATTCTATTTAAAAAAACAACTACCCAAAATTCCTTAAACTTCCATTGGAAACCTTAGGGAAAATTTTAGTGATTAATTAGATGGTTTAAAATATTCTTTGTAAGTCTGGATATTGAGTGAAGGATTTTAAAAACATAAAAAACATAGAAAAACATAGAAAATGTAAAACCATAACTCACTGAAATGACCTCTGATGTGGTTAGAAAAAAAAAAGAGAAGTCCTATGTTACTATTAGTTCACCAGTAAACCTCCATATTCAGTGCAGGTATAGAAATACAACACAGGTTTTTCCTGTAACAGTAAGTTCACCAGAACTATAACAATGGCAATTTCTAGTTAAAAAGCATGCAGAAACCTTATTAATTCTTTGCAAGCCTCTGGAACAGCTAATCTCCACAGTCTGTTGAGACTGCTTTCCTTAAAATGCAACAGTAAGCAATTCAATCAGCAATAAAGCAAATTTCCCTTTGAGGATTTGTATAGAAAACAGGGAGTTTGAGAAGTACACCGTTCATATCTCAAATGGCAGCATGCAGTGTTGAAAGCCAGGAACAGGGTCACCAGCATCGTCAGTGAGAAGATGTACAGCTGTTTCAGCAGCTGTCTTTTCAGAACACTAAAGGATCTCAGCTGCTTCATCTGTGAGACTGAACACCCAGCATAATTCTTCATGTGTAAGCATTCTTGCAGTCCTTTTCAGAACATTTTCACTGCTATTATCTTATTCCTCAGATGAATTAGTATCGGTCAAATAAGTCAGTGGTGAAGGACAGAATAATCATAACATTAGCAGAACATTATATTAAGTGGCTGACAGTGGAACACCAAAATGTAGAAGTGACAAATTAAGAGGTATTACTGTACTACGTATTTGGAGTCAGTTGAGAGAAACATTTATGCATCAAATGCATCAACATTTTAAGAACATTTCAAACTAAAAATAAGATTTAGCCTAAGGTGAATTCCATAAACTTAATATCTAATCTCAGAAAAAACAATATATTAAAAGAAATGTCTTATGGAATGCAAAAATATCCATCTGGATTTTAAGAAGTAACATTAAAGCAACTGAAACAAATGAATTATGTTCCTTGACATTAACACCGAGCTTCATTTCTTAGGTCCCCCGAGTGCTTCCCCCATGTATTTATTCCCATCCACCTCCTCCTTCTTTCCTAAATACTGAAGAATTAGAAAATTCTAAAGCTGACTCCAGATTTGTGTCTGCTACTAACTCCCAAGATAACTCCTACAGCCTTTCGCTGAGCAGGAGCCATAATCTGCATTTTCTGCTCCTCCCAGCTCTCCATTCCCGTGACACTGCTAAAAATTTTGTTTTAGATACCTATACAGGTTCAAAAATGCCATGAGAGATTGACAGAGTCCAAAATAAAAAAGCATTTTGTTTTGCTACTGTAATTCTTTCTTGCTGTCATTTATTGCAAAACATTCATTCCACTTTGTGCATATTTCATGGACTATCCAGCCAATTAACTGTATGTTAACAGCACTACACAAATTTTAAAGACTTTTTAGGTTACTTGAAACTGCTTATCAGGGAGCATTGGCTCCAACAAAATAAACTGCACAATGTCTTTCCTATTTTTAACAGTACGAAACATTGGTTTCTACCTTATGTACTGTAAGCAAAGTTTTAATTCAAAACATCTGCATATTTAACCAGTTTATATTGTTTCCAGTAGCTTTAAGATAAACTAACCTTCTTAGCAGGGGAACTTGGTCTGAAAGGTGGTGCAATTCGCTTCTCTGGAGGTGGTTTCTTCACAGGTGGCAAAGGTTTGTCGTTAAAATAGGGATTCATGTCAAAATACTCCAGGGGGTACATATTTGTCTTGAAAGGCCCTCCTTTAGCCAAACGCTTGTGTTCCTCTCGTGCTTTCTGTAAAACAAATAAATTCAGAGGCAGAATCTTGAGCTTTTCAACTTCGTTTCATTCTCCTAGCCAAAACATTGAAAACATTCAAATTCATTCTTGAAAAAACATTCGCTCCGTCTTCTTTGTTCGTTTACTCAGGGTATTTAAGTAGCCTCCAAGTTTAATGGTTAGACTCTGAGTTTTCTAATCTTATTCTGACCATAGACAAATTTAGTTATTTCTCACTACATATAATGAAAATATATAAGAAAACTAAATTCAGAAATTCAGTACAAGGAAAGATGTGAGCTTTCCTCAAATTATGAGCTTGTAGGATAAGAATAAACTCTTTTTTGTTTCAGTTTGTTTTTTTTTTTTTGTAAGGCATCTAGCATAATACAATCTCATTTCTGACAATGATACAGAAGAATTATTATTGTTCTTGCTATTCACATTGTTTGGTAATTATTGCAATTGTTGCTTAAATGCTCCACATAAAAAAAAAAATTAAGGTCAAATCTTGATTGCTGGAACTTGTATGGGATACTTTTGCTTGTCTTAAAAAAATAAAATAACAATAAGTAAATCTTCATTTTTACATATAGTGATTTGTCTTCCTCCCTCCACCATCCAATAAACGAATATTGTGATTCTGAGCTGAAGGAAACACCATAGTGAACAAGAAGTTCATGAAAATTCTAATAAATAATCATGATTAGTACATAATAAAGATTTTATCTTTTTTACCTTTGCAATTATTTTTTCTAATTCATAGCCATCCGCTTCATGTGGATATTGCTCACCTATAGTAAGATTTGCATAACTGTAAAAAGAGAATGCACTGGTTAGATGATCAAAACTCAAAAAGCATTCAATAAAGGACTGCAAGAAGTAATGCTGTGAAGTTACCCATATCCAGTTCCTTTTTTTCCTGGACTAGTATAAAGATTCTTTCCAGGAGGAATGTATCTTTCTCTGGCTTTCAGTTGTGCACTGAAGTATGCAAACGGACCTCCTATGGTTCCATAATAGCTACCTAGTCCACATCTAAAAAGAGCAAATTAACACATTAATTGGATCTTTGTAAATATTTCAGGCTTTCCATATTTATTGTGCTAAAATGTTAGCCTGTAGAAAACCCAAACAAGCATCATCTCAAGAGGTAAGGATCAATCCATACCAGATCCACTGTGCATGGAACTACAATTATAGGAATTCCATGTACAGTATTATGGACACAAAAGAAACAAGATGGAAGTGGAGATGAAGTTCTGAGGACTCTTGTTATAAATAGGCTTAACAGAGGTGGTTTCAATTTTGCACCAGCAAGTAAAGTAATATTAGTACAGACCGATTCACAAACAGATATACAGAGAAATAGGCTAAACACAACACTTACGGCAATTTATCTCCATTACTGGGAAGGAAAGCTTTGCCCAAATTTTTCTTTGATTCTGCCAATCTATAACGTCTCCTTAGTTGAACAGGATTTGAGTAGGCTTCACCAGTGAAAATCCTCTTAAACTGAGGGTCAAAATAACCTGCCTGAAGAGCTGACAATGTTTTGCTCCCCTCAGATAGCATCTGTCTGTTCCTGCTTGCAGCTTCATTAAAAGGGCCTTTAAAAAAGTAAGAATGATTAAAAAAAAAACACTCAAAGTTAGTGCTTCTCTTAGACTGCATTAAAAAAACTAAGGATCCAAATGGCTGGGTGGCACAAAGAATGTCCTGCAGAGCATTTCACTTGTAAATCAAACATGTATATTTTATGATTTATATCACATAATATACATTGTGTGTAAAAGACTATGATATTGTAAAGACTATAATACTATGAGAAGGTATCCACAGCACACAGTTTTCATTTTCCACTGCCTACATTTGCTTTAGAGGCAATAGAGAGGGATCAGTTACTCCAGACTACAATTCAGAGCTAGACCTGACGCCTACTTATATACTATGAGTAATGCATGAGGGGAGCATTTGTTTCACCCTCCAATTACAGACCAGGTTGACCAGCTTCAATGTCCCCCAGTGGATTTTAGCACCCAGCAGCTTACTGTGGTGGAAGCAATGAGCTAGTGAGCCAGGGTTCTGACAGACACACTTGCCTCGGACAGAACATCACAGCAAACACATCAGAGGATCATTTGCATTTTTCACTTCCAAGTAACTACTGAGGGTCAGCTTTGCCATATCTTACCTACTACAACAATTTACTTATGTGTTCTTTCAGCAGGCTTTCTCTTTCTGAGAATTACATTATCATTATTTTTAATTTAGAGTTGTAATTTATGTTTAGAGTTGTTTTTTTTGGTTTTTTTTTGTTTTTTTTTTCTGTTCTGTTCTCACTCCTGTACATGAGATTCCCCAAAAAGACAAGAAAAGGAGAATGTTTTCGAAAAAAAGGCAGGACACACATAACACTATTATTTTACACAAGCACAGGAAAATACAACCTAGAAGTAAATTTTATTAAAAATAAACTTATACATTAATTTTGTAGTGATTCTATTATGCATACTTATTTTACTGGGTTTTTTGTTTCTTTGATATATATGTGCCATCATGCCAAGCATTTGTATCTAAGCAAAGATTATGTATGAAAAAACAATTGCCTCTGATAAAATGAAATAATAGAAAATAACGATCCTGAAAAAAAGATGGATACTAAAAGGAGTTCCTGTTTTTACACGGTGATTAAAATTAAATATACTTACGCATATAATGTGATACATATTTATCTCCAATGGTAATATAGCTCATTTCACTGAAGAGGCCAATCCTCTCCATATCACTTTTTCCTTCTACAGGCATGGCTGGGTGATAGTGTACCGCTCTAGAAGGTAGAATTATCTCTGTTTATGTGTTTTACTATAACTCCATAAACAGTCAACCCCTATAAACAAGCAAACAAAGTTTTTTTTAAGTAAAATTCAAGGAGTTTCGATTTAAAATATTAGCATTAACATAATCTGAGGAAACTCATCTGCAACATGATTGACTGTTTTGGTGCTTAAAGGACAAACAGATAATGTGGAATTTGGACACCATTTTACTTCATTTCTAAAACAAATTCAGAACATGGATGGAGAAAAAAAGTAAGAGGCATTTTTAGTAGAACTGGTGCAACTCACTGAATTTACGCGGGTTGGGTCAACATTTTCTAGCAGTTATCTTCAAGTACTGGGATTAGGGGTAGCATTAACACATAGCAAGACGCCAGCAGCCTCCTTCTTCAGCTTGGGGCTCTCTCTAGCAGTGGATTTCAATTAACAGTATAGAAGGAGGCCTCAAGGACAAGTCAGAGAGAAAACACAGAAGTGCAATTTTGGAAGCCCTCTAACAGCAGCCCAATAGCTGGTTACTGTGAATATTTCCAATTTCTTCTTGATTTCAGAGCAAATCATTTATAGTGAATGTTCACTTTTCCTTAACGCCCCCTTCAATGAAGACAGACAGAAGGGAAACGTCTGGACAAGAAGTCTAAGGAATATAAGGACTCGAACAGAGAGCAGGATGGGCAGGAGACTGATTCCCAGACCGAAACACAGCAGAATAAAACAAAGATCGTCGGCCGGAGGACCAGCGGGAAGGCTCAGTACCGCCACCACACGAACCGCAGCGCTACGCAAAGCTCAGGGTGCCCACGCTAAGCAAGCCCGGCCCAAAGCAAGTCCCACTCCGCAGCGATGAGCGTCACCGTACCGCCGGGCCCCGCTGGGTACCGAGCGGCACCTACTCGCCGGAACCGGCGCCTCAGCGCCCCGAGCCGCCCCAAGCGGCCGGCGGTGTCCTCCGCCCCCCCTCTGTTGGTAGCGGTTGCCTGGGAACGGCAGGCAGCCCTGCGTCTGCCTCCGCCTCCGCGCCGCCCACCGCGATCGCGGCTAGCAACCGCTGTCCTCGCTTCCTTTCTAATAACAGGATGGTACTAACGCCGTTAATCACACACCAAAAAGCCTACCTTACTGAATTTAGGTGAGATTTGCTACTGCAATTGCACGTGATACGAGGGACCGGACCAGACAGCATTAAGAAAGCTCCCACAGTCCCACATTCTCAAAACAATGTGGAATTAATGTAAGAAAGCCCATTTCAGGCTATGGCCATAGAGCCACCTGTCATAGGCAGCAGTGCTGAAGGACTTGCAGTTGAAGGAAAGTGTCTGTAGCTCATTCAACATTTTAAAAGAACAGATCTTCACTAGAAATTGAATTTAGTATTTAATTCATTAATACAAAGTAAACAAAAAGCCAGACTTCCCATCTTCAGGGGCTCTTCAGCCTTGACCATGATTTGCAACCCGAAAATCTACTAATTTTCCAGCTTGCTCAGGAAGGTGCTATACCTGACCCAGCAGCAGCTGATAGGAACAAGCTGCACTGAAAACAGGAGCACCCAGGTTCTGAGTAGGTAGTGGAATTCAGTTAAACCTGCCTTGCCCACTACCCAGGAGCCACCTCAGAAGTTACAGGTGCTACTTATCTGTAGTATCAGTTGGAAGTATTCTTCAGGATAGACACACGTGGGCCCCGAAACTGGGTTTTCCAATTCAATCAAAAAATGTTTGCTTAGAAATTAACAGAGCACAGAAGGATTCCCGTGTGTAATAAGAAGTTCCATTCTAATTCACTTGCTAGTGCAAGCAACTTCAGAACTTAACAAAGAAACTGCATAGAAGTGCAACAAAGCAACCAACAAGATTTCAGTTAAAAAAAAAAAAATGTTATTGAAAAAAAATGGCTTGAATTTGCAGCACAAGAGAAACCATTGATACCTGACCACAGCAAATGGAATACAAATCATTAGCGTATATCCTTTGGAAACTGAAAATATTAATAGATACTTTAGTTACATTTCAGCTAATTAACACATGCTACTGATGGTGTTCACCAGAGTGAGATTTTGCTGTAATATTACATGCATTCGCTACTTTTCTACATCAGTGAGAGATGATGACAGCACATTGATAAAAGAGCACATGGATGAAGTGAGGTACACTCTATCCTGATACTGTAGTGTACTTTATAACCTATATGAAATATAACCTATATGAAAGCAAAGGCAAAGAGTAACATTATGAAACAGTGCAGGTAATCCTAGTATTCTTTTTTTTTTTTTCTAGGAGATTGAAAAAATGAAGTATTTGTCCTCTTGGGCAGGTGCTTCACAGAACATCATGTGTATACAGGCAATTTTATACATTTTATAAACATGAATTACTAAGTGTATGGGAACTGCTGAGTCACAGCCTGAATCACTGACTGATCACCTGAGGCAAGGACTGGGTCAGCCATGGGAGCGCAGGTGAAGGCGATTCAGCTGTGCTACAGAAGGGGTGCAGCCTGGCTCCTCTTTTAGACTCCATTTAAGGGCTGACTGCCACTGGGGAAGGACCTCTTCCTGGAGATCCCTCCTTTGTGAAGTTTTTTCTGTGCGAGCCTAGGTCTTTGGATATGAGCGAGCATTCCTTTCTTGTTTATCCCTTCTTCCATTCCACCGCGTTAATCTTCCCAACTGTAACGCTAAACAACAAATCAAGTTTTTCCTCCAGATAAGAAATACGGGTAGAGCATCAGAAGTAACACACGAGTAACCTGCAGTGCTGCAGCGCCCTCTGCAGCTGTTGGGGAAGCTCTGCAAGTGCACCTGCAACGCAGGGACCGTGGGCACGTTGCTTGCGAAGACCCGAAGGTCAACAACGGAAGCACTGCACGTTGAGACGGAGTAGAATTAGCATTTTTAGGGCACTGTTTCCCTTTCTGGAATCGTAGAAACACGATGCAATTATTTTATTTTATTTTTTCAATTCTTCTGTCAGTATTACCTTCATTCTTATTTTGTTTAGATTTATTTCCCTGGATCTGCAAAGGCAATTTTTTAAATGTTCATCAGGTTTTACAGTGTGCTTTTGTCCTAGAAGAAAAAGCTTGATGCCAAATAGCAATGGTATGCTGTATCCCTACTAGAATGCAGCAGATTAAACAGCGTTTTCTCTTGTGTGCAGTGAAGGTAAGGGAACACGGCATGTTTAAAAAGGAAAAGTAAGCTTTGGAAGATCTACTTTTTTGCTCTCAGCCGAAGCTGCGAGAGGCTTTTGCACCACAAACGCTGCAGACACGGAGCGCAGCGGGTCACGAAGAGGGGAAGGGAGCCGGGCCGGAGCCCCCTGCAGACGAACAGGAGCGAAGAGCAGCTCGGGCAGCCGCTGAACAGAGGGAACCGCCCGCCCAGAGGGAATGGCAGCAAGCGCGGAAGCCCTCCCCTTGTCCGGTTAACCGTCCGAAGGAGCTCCAGCGATTTCATCGGCTTTCCCTCAGGGCCGCTGTTCCACAGAGCCGGCCGGCGGGGACAAACGTCAGTCCCCGGCCGAGAGCAGAGGCCAGCGGCCGGCCCACCCCTTCCGGCAACGGCTGCCCTGGCAACGGCTGCCGCTACACCTCGGCGGTGAGCGAGGCTGAGGGGCTGCTGAGGCGTCTGGCCATGGCCGAGCCTGGCGGGGAGCCTGAACAGAGCCCCCGGCTACCCCAGGGGGGCCCTGTGCAGCTGCCTTCTGAGCACTCTCAACCCGGAGGACAATCTTACCGGCCTCAGCAGTTAGAACCGGGAGCAGCTTCCAAGTACCAGGAGGTATGGCCTACATCTGATCAGCTAGGAGAGCTGGGAAAGCGTGGCAGTCAGTCACAGGCACCTTATTAGGACCTCTACCTGGACTGCTGGCCAGGCTCATACACCAGGACAAGTACAGCATTCACTGACCCCAGTGCAATATTTTTGTCACTCACAGGGAGCAGAAGAAAGCTCTTACAAGCAACATGTGCCAGACATAAACTTCAGTCAGGCACACACACTGGGACAAGACTCTCATCAGGCACAGGAGGTAAGCATGTATCAGACATACCCGCTAGGAACTCAGGAACCAAGAGGTGCCTATCAGACATACGGCGGACGTGATCGCTACCAAGCCTATGAACGTGAGCACGGACCTTATTTGCCACATGAACCAGGCTATGGACTATATCAGCCAGGCTACGGTCCATATGATGATCAAACACCAGATCCTGAACACCGAATGCTGGCGTGTCAGAATGCAAAAGCCTATTTGCTGAAGAGCAGCGTAACATCTGGCCTGAACTTGTAAGTCTGAAAAAGGAACAAAATTGAAAGGGGAAGAAAGTAGGAGTGGAAATAAAAGAAGTGTTTATGAAGGGGCAAAGGGATCTGTTAAGAAGGTAAGGGGTAGCAGAGGCTATAGAACAGGCAAATACATTACTGTATACTCAATGAATATTAAGATGTTATAATTATGAAATAAACAAGAGAGTTCAACAAAGCAGACTATGATAACAAAAAGAAGAAAAATAGAAGGCTTACCCCTATCCTGGGCTCACTCACAAAACACCAGCAGAGTGGATCTCCAGAAGAGATCCATCCCTACTGGCAGCCAGCTCTTAAATGGGTCTAGGAGAGGTGCAGCCAGGCTCCACCCCTTCCGGCAGCACAGGTGAATTGCCTTCACCTGTGTTCCTGTGCCTGACTCATTGCTCACCTCAGGTGATCAATCAGAGGTTCAGGCCGTGACTCAGCAGTTCCCATACAATTACAAATGCAGTATCTCATCACTATGTTATATTTGTGTGTCCACCATCTTTCAGAAAAAAAAAAATCCCGAGGGGAATAATAGAGTGCAAAGGGAAATTGATTTGAATGAGATTAGGTTTAAATTCTCCTGTAATTCCCGAGAAAGGTGTGGGATAAAAAAAAAATAGAAGACAGATTAGTTTCAAGTCTAATTTCCTGCAATGCTCCATTTTTTCTTTGATCTTTAGATGCTCATTCATTTTTTTTTCTTTGAAGACCCAAGTGATTAGTTTCTACATTTAATATTGAAAATGTAAT